CTGAGCTGCACAGACCAGGTCTGGCTGAAAGGTGTTTATTTTTTTTTTGCACTTTTTGGGACTCTGTCCTCACTCTGTGGCTTTTGTTGTTGTTGTCTCTCAGCATGGCACAGACCCAGCACAGGCGCTTTGGCTTCAGAGCTGCCAAGTTTGGGAGCAAAACGAGACTTTCCAGTGTTTCTTCATCAAAAAGCGCTGCCTGCTGACTCAGCAGACTCGTTTTGGGGTTTGTTTAACCTGCCAAGCATTGTGTTGGGCTCAGACACAAAGTGGAGGCCAAAACAGGGCCATGGACAGGCCTGGGGCGAGTTCCAGGAGCTCCAGAGGAGCTGATGTGGGGCAACACCGTGCAGGGAGCTGCTCAGAGGTGCAGTCTTGGTCTACAAACTGCTTTTCAGGGAGAATTTCTTCCTGGAAGGGGTGGTGAGGCCTTGGAAGGGTCTGCCCAGGGAGGTGGGGGAGTCCCCAGCCCTGAAGGTGTCCAAGGAACGACTGGATGTGGCACTGAGTGCTCTGGGAGATGGTCAAAGGTTGGACTTGATGACCTTGGAGGGCTTTTCCATCCTCAGTGATTCTGGGAATGATTCTGTGATACAACAGCCCCCCTGGGCTCCAGCCCTCACTGGGGGTGCTCTGCATTTCACAACAGGGTGTTCTGATGCTCAGAAGGTCTGGAGAAGGTCTGGGCTGTTTCACAACAGAGTGTCCGGGACCATCCCCGGCGTTGCAGAATTTTGTAGCAATATCAGGAAACCCCCCTTTTGGTCACTTTATCACCCTGGAGGTGGGGAAGAACAAGGGTGTGGGAGGGGTTTCCAAGGTGGGATAGTGGCTGGATCCTTGGATGTGCCCACAGGCAAGAGGAATGTGCCCCTGCGTATTTGGTTGTGACCTGGGGTGACCGGGGAGCCCGGGCAGTGCTGAGGGTCCCAGGAACATGTCCTGGCACAACTTTCTGCTGGCTCTGCACCCCCCCTTGCACAGGACTTGCACAGCCCCCTGTCCACCCACAACCCCGTCCCCAAGGCCAGCAGGGTTGGGCAAGGATCTGCTCATTGGAGGGACTGAGAGGGTCTGGGGAACTCAGGATGTGTTTCCAGGTGCCCAGGGTTGGTCGTGCTCCGAGGAGCTGAGCCCTGGCAGGGCACCCCGAGCTTGGCAAGGGTTGCAAAACTCTTTCAAAACACACTTTTAAGGGCTGATGTGGGCAGAGGGAAGAGCAGGGCTTGTCACCCCCTGGGTTATCCCCCAGGACCAGTGCCTGCCCTCCCCCCCACCCGTGGGATGCGGAAGGAATTGCCGGCACGGGAAGGACTCGGTGGATTTCAAGTGATGCTTTATTATCTCACAGGTGTGAGGGATCCCAGCAGGCAGAGAGCACCCAGAGCCCCGTTCCTAAAGCAGCCCTCTCCCGGTGTTCCATGGGGGGAGCCGAGGCTCAGTCCTGGTCGGGCCCGCAGCGGTCGGAGCCGTGGCTGATGCGATGGGCGTCGTCAGCCACCTTGGCCAGGACGATGCTGAACTCCTCAAAGGACATCTCCTTGTCCTTGTTGAGGTCGGTCTCCTTGAAGATCTTCTCCAAGTAACCACGTTGGTTCCTGCCCTGGAATTGGGGGACAGGAGAGGTTTTAGTGTGTCCCCTCCCCAGGCTCCGAATCCACCAGTGGAGACAGAGCCAGCTGGGTCCTTCCATGCCCCGGGATGTGTCTGGATCTGCAGGACACCATGACCCTCTCCTACAGTGCAATTAGCCCCTAATTAAGCCCTAAGTGGACACTTGTCCCAAGTCCCTCTGGCTGGAGGAAAGAGCTCAGGTGGCCCCACAAGGCTGACCACAGTGAACCATGACCATGGTGGGACCTGCTCCCCATTCCCTCAGAGCCACCTCAGCCTCGTCCCCCGGCACATCCCGAGGGAATGCTCCCCCAGGGAGCCCCTCTGGCACTCACACAGGCCTGCAGGAAGGTGGGGGCCTGCTCAGTGATCAGCGTTTTGAAGTCGTTGACGCTGAGGAGGTCGAGCTCTCCCTGCCGGACGCTGTAACGGTGATAAACGTCCACGATGGTCTCCAAGGCCCTCTCCAGGGTGCAATTCCCAGGGAACTGCCGGCTCTCGGCGTGGCTGTGGGTGCTGGCAGACATGGCTGAGCTCAGGAGGTACCTGCAGAAACTGGGAAACACCTCAAAGCTGTGAAATGGGCCCAAAATCAGGCACCCCAGGGAGGGGGAGCTGCCCCTGCCCAGCCCCGGAGACTGTGTTCTATTTTATATGTAATACCAATATATATATTGTGCTATTTCTATATATAATATTCATTCATTCATTTCTATATATAATATATAGTTTATAATATATAATACATTATATATATAATATATATTATAATATATTATGTTATATCATGTATAATGCCAAATTATACCTATATTACGTTATTTTAATATATATAATATATAACAATATATAACATATATTATCACATATATATATTGTAATAAAACACATGCATTATATATTATTTATATTCCATATAATGCCAGAATTTATCCTTTTTTTGCAGCCCAAACCAGCCTTCTCCCCTGCCCTGAGCAGAAACCACCCCCCTGGACTGAGTCCACGTCCAAAACTGCGTCTCCCTCACCGTGTTCCTTGGAGGCCCTCCCAGTCCCACTCACCCTGGTCTCGAGGAGGGTGTGCAGAGAGCGAATCCCTTCTGTGCTCCCGGAGCCCGGGCAGCCCTTTTATCCCCGGTTGAGGGGCGGTTTCGCCACAGTTGGTGACACACCTGCCGCAAGCAGCGGCTTGAGTTCACCTTTCCCGCTCCTGGAAATTGCCGGGTGGGCCCTTCCCGAGCCCCTCCCGGCTCATTCCTCCTCAGGCAGTTCCTGGTTGCACCCACCGGGCTTTGGAAACGCCATCCTTGCCCCAGCTGTCACCTCTGCCAGGCCCCACGTGCAGCAGGAGGGGACCCACACCGGGTGTGTGGTCACACCTTGGCACAAGTTGCCAGAACTGGGCAAGTTTTGCAACGTACCAAAAATTCACACGTTTTCAGACTGATGGGGGAGAAAGTCAGGCTGTTTTGCACAAAGCAGCATCTGCCTTTCAAAACTGGTTTTCCAGAGTATTTTCCATTCCTTTCTATCTTCACGTCACCCACACCAGACCTTTCCTCTCACTCCAGGAATTTTCTGGAGGAAACCGGGCATAAAACCAGAGGAAAAGCCGAGCTCAGGGTCTCCACGGGCTGGTGGATGAGCCACCAAATGTTTTGCAACTGTCACCTCTGTGTCACCCGTCCAGAAGAATGAGGAGACTCTCAGAAGATTTAAACCAAGACAATAGATACCAGGAAGAGGAGAGGACCAGCAGAACAAGAGGGTAACCAGTCCTGTTTGAGGATGCTCCTCATGTGGCCCAGGGGCAGTGGCAGGAACTGTTGCATGAGTTTTATTCCCGTATCCCTGACTCACATTATTGCTCTTTTTGTGTTCCGACTCCGCTCATTAGGGACTGTCAGCAGTCCCAAATTGTATCCTCATTCCTCAGCCAACAGGGAAAGCCTTGGGCAGGGTTTGGAGCGCTTGTGTAGCCCCCACATGTGACATCTGGGCCCTGAATTCCTGGTTTTCCTCCTTTTTGTTCCCCAAAACCTGTGGGGGGGCAGCTCACGGTGCCCAGGTCTGCAAGGGGAGCAATGCCCAAGTGCTACCAGGGTGCCCTGGCAGGACAGTGAGTGGCATCTGCCTCCAGGGGACAAGGGCTGCTCCCCAAATCCCTCGTGGAGCCTGACAGCAGTGATCTGTGTCACGGGGTGCAAGTGCCCTCACAGTGGTTGGGTTTCACGTGGGACGGGCTCCTGGTTTCGGCTGATATTGGAAATGTCGGAGCCTCCTGAGCCTGAGAGTTTCCCCCTCAGTGCACAGTCACCAGCACAGTCAGGAGCTCTTTGTCACTCCTGTTTCTCCCCCCAGGAGCCCACGGTGACCTTTAGAAGTGCCAGGACTCGGGGGGCTGTCGCCCCACCCTATAAAACCCCCCAGTTTCATTGTGCAGAGTCACCACTGCGTGTGACCAGGGCAGCACCTCCGAGGAGCTCCTGCTACGGAGCTGCCCCACGTCAGCCCCCTGGAGCTCCTGGAGCCCCTCGGCCTCGTTCTCTGCTGGGCTGGGGCCAGCTGGTTGCTTTGGGGGTTGCAAAAGCATCACAGGCACCCCCAGGATGTGACACCTCCAACTCCAGGGCTGGGGCTCGGCAGAGACCTGGGGAAGGACACCCCCCACTGCTGTGCTTCACCCCTGGCATGTCCTGGAGCTGGTCCAAAGAGGGACTGGGAGAAGAAGGGCTGGGGATGTTCCCCACCTCTGTTACCCCCCTGGCACATCCTGGAGCTGGTCCAAAGGGGATTTGGGAGAAGCAGGGCTAGGGATTTTCCTGTGCTTCACCCCTGGCATGTCCTGGAGATGATCCAAAAAGGGACTTGGAGGAGAAGGGCTAGGAATGCTCTGGTGCTTCCCCCCTGTTGTGTCCTGGAGCTGATCCAGAGGACTGGGAGAAGCAGGGCTGGGAGTGCTCCAGCTGCTCCTACCAAGGACACACTCACTGTCTGCTGAGGTAGAGGATGCTGGGACCAACCACCCACTGAGCAGTGGGAGCACACTGGGATCTGACCCCCTTCAGGAGCCCACACAGCCTGTTTTGCTCGGTGGGGACTCCCCACTCTGCCCAGAGCAAGATCCCCCTGTGCCACCTTCCCCTCCCATTGCTCCTCCAGCTCAATCTGTGTTTAATCCCCCCAGCCATGGGTTGGGTGAGAATCTGGAATCCCACCCACCCCCGGAGCCCTCAGAACATGTAACAAGATGCATTTGGTGCTCGAAGTAAAGGATTTTATTTCAGTGCCACAGGTAGAAGCAGCTGACAAGGCTTTGGTTCCAGGGAAGGGATGCTGGTGCTGGGAAAGCAGAGCCCCGTGGGCACAGACACCCCAGGAGACGCTTCAGTTCCGGGGACGGCGGCCGTGGTCGTGCCCGTGGTCGTGCCCGTGGTCATGCCCGTGGTCGTGCCCATGGTCATGGTCCCCACCAGGGCCCTTGTGGGACCTGTCATGGGCATTGATGGCCACCAGGTTGAGCGTGGTCATGAACTCAGTGAACTTGAGGCGCCCGTCGTGGTTCCCGTCGGCTTTGGTGAAGAGCTGGTTGATGTAGTCGTCAGTGCTCATGTTGGGCTGCAGCAGGACAGACAGAACAGGGCTCAGGCTCACCCTGCCAGCCCTCAGCTGGGAGGACTGAACCCCAGAAAAACCCTTCTTCCCTTTGGGAAGCCCCAGCCCCAAGGAGGGCACCATTCCCACAATGCTCGGCTCTTCCATCCCTGGAAGTGTCCAAGGCCAGGTTGGAGCAACCTGGTCTAGCAGGAGGTGTCCCCATGGCAGGGGGTGGAATGGGGTGATCTTTGAGGTCCCTTCCCACCCACCCCTTCCATGATTCCATGACCTTACCGGCTTGGTGTCGTTCAGGAAGGGCTTGGCCGTCTCCTTCAGCAGCTTGGAGAACTCGGTCTTGCTCAGGTAGTCGTCGATGGGGCGGTTCAGCACAGCATACTGGTGGTAGACGTTCACAGCACACTCCAGGGCCAGCTCCAGGTCGGTTTTCATCCTGCTGGGAAGGGACACACAGCAAAACATCAAAGCAGGTCAGAGGAGGACTGGCCTCTCTCCTGGCCCATCCCAGTGGCACTTCCAGCACCACAAAGGCACCCTTTGGAAGAACCTACTCACCTTGGAGGAGTTCTGGGCTCTGCAGACGGTGCGCAGGAGGAGCAGAGAGAGCAGGAGCAAGTGATGCTGCAGAGGAGACGACGCCTCTTTTATACTCTCCCTGAGCTATGATTTGTGACACCCTCAAATCTCCTCCGGGGCAGCAACCCTGGGAATTGTGCAAGGCTGCTCAGCACGCCCAGGTGGTGACTTCTCGGCTCCAGGAACTGGCTGCTCTCCCTGTTAACGAGGGAGGGGACGCCCCAAACTCATCAGGACAAAACAAGGAAACACCAAAACTGACGTTTGTGAGGAGCCGTCACCGGGGGTCAGTGATGATGCAGCACTGGGACATTCCTGCAGAGTTTGGGGGGTCTGTGGAGATGATGGGAGACAAATTTGTCTGGATCACACCTGTGAGGGTCTCCAGTGGGATAACACTGGGCTTACCCAATGGGGGATGAGGTTCATCATCACATTTGCCCCGTCGTTGTTGAGTATGGATGGAGGTTTGGTGGCCCCTCTCAACGTGCTGCTGGTGGCCAACACATCCCCCCCATCCACCTCTCCAAACTCATGAGAGCATTCTCCCTGCATCACTTGTCCATAGATTTCCATGGAGTCAATCCTGGGTACAAATCCAGGCATGCCAGTGTGTGGGAAACCTTCCAGCTGGTCTGAGGAGGTGGCACTTCCCAGCAGCTCTAATTGCTGCCCGATGACAACTGAGGGCATTGGCAAACCCTCCCGACTCTCAGCTGTGCCCCTCGGTGTTGGGGGGATGCTGCCACACGTGGGAGACCCCCTGGTGTTCCCACTGCCCAACCCTGCGTGACTTGAGGGGGCTGGTGGGGAGCCCCTCATCCCAAATCCAGCCCCGGGTTGGCCTTGGAGGCTTTTGGGGAACGGGAAGGACAGTGGTGGTGAAACATCTCCCTGTCAGCCTCTTAATCCCGGAACCAGCACCCAAGGAATCCTCAATTGCAAAAGAGGGAAATAAAGGGACAGGTTTTCTGATGGAAACGGGCCAGGAAGGGGACCCACGTGCCCCATCCCCACCTTGGCCCCAGCCCAGAGCACTCAGTGCCACAGCCAGGCCTTCCCTGGGCACCTCCAGGGCTGGGGGCTCCCCCACCTCCCTGGGCAGCCCCTGCCAAGGCCTGAACACCCTTTCCAGGAGGAAATTCCTCCTCATGGCCAACCTGACCCTCCCCTGGCACAGCTGGAGGCCGTTTCCCCTCATCCTGTCCCTTGTTCCCTGGGAGCAGAGCCTGACCCCCCCCCAGCTCCCCTCTCCTGTCAGGGAATTCCAGAGCCAGAAGGTCCCCCCTGAGCCTCCTTCTCTCCAGGATGAGCCCCCCCAGCTCTACATTTTGTGGTGGCTCCTGGCCACCCACACACACAACCCTGGGGGCATCCAACGGGGGGGCACAGTCCAGGCTGGACAAACCAAAGCCATTGTGGCATCTTCAGTGCTTCTGGCACAGCCCGAGGTGACCCATGAAGGCTCCCAGCAGGGTGGAGGAGGGGACACCCACATCTGGAAGGGGTTAGTTGTACATCTGGAGCCCAGCACACAAGCCTAGATGGCTAAAGCTCTTCACTGGGGGGAAAAGGGGATCAGGGGGAGGAAAGGAGATGTAGAACCATGAGAAGGACGAGCTCAGAGCGGGGCCGGGGCTGCTCCCACAGTTTATAGCCCTGGGCTGAGTGTGCCCTGTGGCAGCCTAGGAGGGCTGGCTGGGTGCACAGGGAAGTGGCTCCACAGCCCCACCCTGAGCAGGAACGCGGCTGAAACCCCGCTCAGGATTTACTGGGGAGGGGAAGGGACGAGGGTCCTGCGTGACAGCCCAGTGCGGCGGGTCCTGCCCCACGGGGTCAGACGCTGACTCTGCCTGAGCTTCGCAGTTACGGCTAAAAAAGAGTCGTTCAGCCTTTGTTGCCGCTCCCGGAGCCGCTAATCCCTGGGAAACCTCCCGCCTCGCTCTGTGCGGCCGTGAACAGCTCTCGGGGCTGCGGGGTGTTCAGAGCCCGCCGCTGACTCATCCCGAGCGGCTGCCAGGGCTCGGCTCGCGGGCGGTTCCCGAGGGCTCAGGGAACGCGGTGTCCACACCAAGGCAGAGCAGAATCCACTCTGGGACCTCCCTCGTTCCCACTCCTCACCCCGTCCGTGCAACCCGCCCGCGGGAGGGAATCGGGGTCTCGCCCATGGCCACAACACCCCATCCCTGGGGCACGAGACCCCCGTGGCAAAGGGAGCAGGGACTTGGTTGAAATCGATATTTATTGAAATGGCATCAGGAGGACAGGGGGAGGGCCTGGGGAAGGTGCTCCCCGCTCATTTCCTGCGCGGCATCTTGTCCGGGAGGTCCTGGAAGAAGTCGTTGCACATCATGGCCATGCAGGCCAGGAAGGTCACATACTCCTGGAAGTCCACCTCGCTGTCGCTGTTGCAGTCCAGGTTGCTCATGAGCTGCTGTAAACTGGCCTCGCTGGTTTGTTTCTGCCCGGGGGAAAAACGGGGTTAAAATCGGGGTTCGCATCCAGGGCCACATTCCCAATCCTGGAATCGCCCCTGGACATGGCACCTGCAGCCCTCCACTCACACTGAAGCTTGGCAGCTCCTTCAGGAGCATCTCCTTGAGCTCGGCCTTGCTGAGCTTGTACTTGTCCCCCTCCTTCCCGGAGTACTGGTGGAAGGTGGTGACCATCACGGCCAGTGCCTGCTCCAGGGGACTCGCCATGGGGACACCGGGAGACCTGGAGAGACAAACAGCTGAGAGCAGAGTTTGGGCCTCCCCCGTGCTGGGGGGCAACAGCGTCTCCCACCCCCAGACCGGTGCCCCATTCCTGGGCACACACTGGGATGCACCATTCCCTCCCTAATTCCAGCCTCCCGCTTCCAGCCAGGCTGGAGAACCCCCAAAAAGGCCGTGTCAGAGGGGAAAAGGGGGGGTCACAGCCCCTTCCCACCCAGGCCAGGCAGGGGAGGGGCTCAGGTGCTTTTCCAGCCCTCGGAGGTGAAATCCAGCCTTGGAACTCGGCTCCCCCAGCAGGAACCTCCCTCTCATCCCCGAGGGAAAACCTCTGCCAGGGGACCCCGCTGTGGGATGTGCCACCGGCAACATCTGGAGAGCAGCTGTATGGGGAATCGCGGGGAAAATACAACTCACCGAGAGCTCAAAGGGAACAGCGGAGGACGGGAAGGGCGGGAGAGGAGACGGAGCCGGGCCACGGGATTTATAGCCCCGCCTGGGCCACCTCCCTCGGCCCCGGGCGGGGAGGAACCAACGATCCAGCGCCCGCTGGAAAAGGAGGAGAGGAAAGCCCGGGAGCAGCCCTGCCTGCCCCCCTCCCCCCTCAATTTTCCTGCTCCTGGGGGTTGGTTGGGGTTAGAAAGAACAAAACGTGCCCCTGGGGCTGGGCAGGGACCTCCCGGTCCAGGAGAATCCCTGGGCACACGGGATGAGTGGCGGGCACCGCATCCCACCTGTGCCAGCGCGGGCAGGTGGGGCCACATGAGACGGTTTTGGCAGCATCCCGAGGGATTCTGGAGCCCAGCGGGGTCTGTCCATGGAGGGGAGGAGTTGTGCTGAGGGTTTTTCTGTCTGTTTTTGACTCTCCTGGCAGCGATTTTGTTTCCTGGCTCTGAGGGCAGCGTCACAACGCCCCGTTGTGTAACCCGGCGCTATTTCGGTGCCTGCGTGGCCCAGGCACGTGTCAGGAGCTGTGGAGAACACCAGGAACCGGCAGTTTCCAACCCCTCAGACGTGGGCTGAGGGCTGACAAAGCCCTCGAGTGCCCCCCCCAGCCCCCTCAGAGGGAACCTGCTGCTGTGGGGAACAGAGAGAGAAAAGCAGGGGATGAAGCTCCGGGCTGCTCCAAAGCTCAGTGGGATGCGAAAGCTCTCCAGACACCCCCTGACATCTCCCCAGGTCGGGGGTTTCTTTACATTTTGGCAGGAGAAACCCCCAGCCTGAACCTCCTCCCCTCATTAGTGCAAACTGGTGTGAGTTACTGGGAGGGGCGGAAGCTCCTGGGGCTCTTCATAAAGACTCTGGGAAGGGGCAGAGCAAAGTTTGGAGCTGCTGGGCAGGTGCTGGAAGGACCTGGAGGGGCTCAACAAGGACCTGGTAGGGCTCAATGAGGACATGGGGGCCTTGGGGAGAACCTGGAGAGCTCAAGGAGGACCTGGAGGGGCTCAGGGAAGACCTGGAGGGCTCAGGGAAGACCTGGGCCCTTGGGGACAGGCTCTGCCAGGGGTCTGCTCTGTCATGGAGTGGTGCAGAGGCTTTGTGAGGGTTTTTTAAATCTGGGATGGTTCCTGTGGAAAAGCCAAAGAGCAGCTGCTGCACCTTCTGCAAACCAGCCCAGACCTGCCCGGAGCTGCCTCAGCGATGGGAGGAGGAGGAAGGGGAACCCTGTGGCTCCCGGTCACATCCCAGGAAATTCCTGCCTGTCTGCGGTCCCGGGGCTCCCTGGAGAACTCAGGGGGGTCGGGTTGACCTCCAGTGCAGCCCGCCAGCACGGGCCCACCCCCAGGAGGGCTGAGGGTCTCCTGGAGGGGTCTGGGGACACGCTCTGGGTTCGTGTCTCTCTGTCCAGTTCCTCCACCCCAGTTTCTCTCCCCAAACCCAATGAGGTGCCCAGGGCAGCTTGTGCCTGCCTAAAACCCACGGTGGGCACTCAAACCTCAGCTGTTTCGACCCAAAGTGCACTGAGTCCCTCCCTGAGCTAGCAAGGACAGCTCAGGGGGGGCATCCAAGCAGCTCAGACTGTTTTGCTCAGACTCCTCCAGAAAATGCCTTCCGGGGCTGCATCACAGCATGGAAAATCCCAGGGAGCTGGAGGAAGGTATGAATCACCCTCTGCCCGTTACCCAGCAGGCACAGAACCCCTGGAGCACACCCAGAACTGGGGAAAGCTTTTATTGAAAGCCCCTCTGGGCAGGGGTGGGGGGTCACTTCCTGCGGTGCTGCTTGCTGGGGTCGTCCTTGAAGAAGTCGTTGAAGCCCATGGTGATGCAGGCCAGGAAACACACGTACTCCTTGAAATCCACCTCGCTGTCCTTGTTGTGGTCCAGGTCGTTCACCAGCCGCTTGAATTCCGCCTCATCCATTTGTTTCTGGTGGGGCATGAGAGGTTTTGGGGTGTCCCTAACCTGCCCTTCCAGCCCTGCTCCCCTCCCCCTGCCTGGAAGGAGGGTTTTCCCTTTGCCTTTGGAAGGAGGTGGCCTGGAAAGCTGCACCTGTGACAGGGCAGTGCTGGAGCAGCTGCACCAAATGTGCCTCTGGGATGTGGAAAAGTTGGGCTAAAAAACTTCTCCTCCCTCTTCCCAATTTAAACCACAAGGTTTTAAAGAAGGGGAAGTTGGGGGTTAAAAAAATTATTATAAAGTGGAAATCAGAGCGTGATTTCCTTTGCCAAACTAAATATTTCTGAGGGCATAAAAAAAGCCAAATTTCCTTTTGGGCTGAGGCTGCTCCAGCTCAGCTCCTCCTGGTCTCATCCTTCCTCCTCCTCCTCCTCCCCAGGGCTCTCCTCGGAGCACGAGGCTTCTCTGGGCTGCATCCACCATTCTAACACCTCCCACCCTCCCCTGGGCACCTCCAAAGGCCGCCCAGGGATGTCCCTTGTGGCCACTTACGCTCCCGAAGATGGGCAGCTCCTTGTTCAGCAGGTCCTTGAGCTCGGCCTTGCTGAGCTTGAACTTGTCCCCCTCCTTCCCCGAGTACTTGTGGAAGGTGGTGACCATCACAGCCAGTGCCTGCTCCAGGGGACACGCCATGGCCAGCCTGGGGGGCACAGCAGGACAGGGGCTCAGGGTCTGTGCCCCCCACCCTGCCCAGGCTGTTCCCCTGCAGCCCCCACAGCCCTTGGGAGGGTTTGGGGTGCAGGGAGGAAGACGAGCAGAGACTCACCTGGTCAGCAGCCGTGAGGACACACAGGATGCTGCAGCCGGGGCAGGATGGGCATTTATAGCCCCGTGGGGGTGGCACTGCCCCCGTGCCCCCCCAGGCTTTCCCAGCAGCTCCACCAGGGTGGTTTCGCCCGCGCCCCATTTTTGCCTAATGAGCTGTGTGATCCCATTAGAGGGGGGGATTTGGGTGCTGGTGGGGTCACCAGCCCATGTGCCCTCTAAACCATCACTGCACTGTCCCTCACACCCCCAGCATGGGTGGTCCTGAGCAATCCCTTCCTGGTGACCCCAATCCAAGGAAATATTTGGGGCAGGGGGGTGACAACGGATTTATCTGAGCCATGGGCTGGGGTTCGGTGCTGCCTGGTGGGTTCCTGAGCTTTAGCACCTGCTTAGCACCAGGCACAGGGTCAGGATTTGTGCTCCCCCAGGAGAGCCACGTCCTCCTTCCAGTCCATCACCTTGTCCTTGTCGTTCTCTGGGTCCTTCAGGAGCACCCAGAAGCTGAGCTCATCCCCTTGTCCTTGGCCCAGAGGGTCACTGAGGTCAAGGACCAGGGCACAGGGGGGCATCAGCCATGCCAGGGGGGTTTGTGTGGTGTCCCACCCTTAAGAAGGAGGGATCACCCAAGATTCTCTGGGATTCCACAGCTGGGCACATGGAGGGACCTGTTTTAGGGAGCAGCAAGACCTTCCCTGACCTCCACACCCTGCTAGGGTTGGGAAGGGACACAAGAAAGGGGAATATTCTGAAATGTTCCCGTTTGCTGCACCTAGAAATGAGGTGTTGGGGTCTGGCTGCCCCCACGCTGAGGGTCCGTTCCCGAGGGACCCTGAGGATCGAGGCTGGATTGCCAGGATTCCGTGGGAGCAGCGGGAGCGGGGCCCAGCCCAGCCCCACAAACCGCGGGGTGAGTCACGGCCCGGCCCTCGCCCCACGGGGATTCCTCGGCCGTGACTCAGCCGCGGCTCTGCCCCGCTCCCACGGCGAGAATCCCGGTTTTCCGGGGACCCCCGGAGCTGCGGGGCCGGGCAGGGGGACAGGCAGGGGACAGAGATGCTCCTGCAGCGGAACGAGAGCAACGAGGGGTTGGCTGGGAGGGGATGGGGGTCGCGGTTTCACGGTGCCGTCACCCCCCTGCCGTGCGAGTGGGGCTCGTGGGGGGCAACCACCACGCTCGTAGGTCCACGCCCAAGTCCCTTCCCAGTGGAAAATCCCCGGAAGAGCCGGAGCGGCTCGGGCTCCCTGCCCGCACCGTGGGCGTTGCGGAGCGCGACGAGCCCAACCCTGCTGAGCACGGGGGTCCCTGGGGGTCTTTGGGGGTCCCTGGAGGTCTCGGCACAGCTTTGCCCCGTCCCCATCCCGGGTGGGGGGTCTGCAATGTGCCAGGATGCAGGACGGAAATGGGGGGGTCCCCCGAGACACGCCCCCCCGGGGTCGGGGCAGCCGCGGAGCCGCTGGCATATGGAGCTGTAATTCCGGGCTGCCGGGGACCCCCTCGGGGACACAGAGGGGGTCCCCCAGGAGAGCTGTGGCAGCGGCCGCCACCCCTCTCCCCAGGCAGAGGGTTGGGTTGGGGTGTGGTGGGCGCTGGGAGTGCGGTGTCTGCTGACACCTCGTGGTGCTCCGTCAGCCCCGCGGTGACCGGGACGGGCGTTGTCACCGGGGTGTGACTGTGCGGGCGGTGGGGGACAGGGCAGACCCCCTCCCTCGGCCCCCCCGCCCCCTCAGAGCACAGGGAAGGCAGAGCCTCAGCGTCACCCGCTTCTCCTCCGGATTTTATTGCCGCAATAAATAACCACGGGGGTGTCACCCGAGGGGGCCGCGCCGAGCCCCGAGCGCCGGCCGGGGCACTCCCTCCACCAGCCCGGGCACGGGGAAAGGCCCCCTTTGCTCAGGAAGACCCCCCGCTCTGAGGGGGGGCTGCATGGGGAGAGGGGGGTCCCGGCTGTGACGGGGGCTCTGCCAGCGGAGCTCTGAGAACAGGCAGAACTCAGGTCTCACATGAGGGGAAACCTCTCCCTTTGCTTCTCGCCCGACAGGGCTCGTGTAAGGGGAGGAGGGCAGGGCAGGCACGGCGAGGAGGAGCCTCGCGTCCCCAAATCCCACCCACAGGGTCGTCCCGCCTCCGTCACAGCCCGGCACGGCTCGGTCGGCAGAGCCCTGGGGAGCCGAGGTGGCCCGGGGCGAGCTGGGGCTCGGGGAGGGCACAAAGCGGGGGGGGTCGTGGAGAAGCAGGGGGGTCCAGGAGGGTCCTGTGCAGCGGCTACTTGGTGAATTTGATGCTCTGCTCCTGCTGGCGGATGATCTGGGCGATGGGGCTGGCGATGCCGCCTATCAAGGTCCAGTACTCGTCGAAGCTGATGCGCCCGTCCTTGTTCTCGTCCAGGTCGCAGATGAGCTTGTCGGCTGCGCGGCGGTTCCCGGTGTCCTGGGGGGAGAGCAGAGCCGCTCACACCGGGGTGTGGGGCAGGGGGACCCCCTGGGAGCGGCAGGGGCAGGACCCCCCGGCCCCGCCCGCCCCGCGCTCACCGTCAGCATGTGGTTGAGCTCCCGGCTCAGCATCTTGCGGAAATCCTTCTTGCTGATGCGCCGCGGCTTCTTGCAGCAGCAGCAGCGGCTCGAGTACTTGTCAAAGTTGTTCACCAGCACCTGGACGGCCCATTCCAGCTCCGTGCACTGCGACATCGCTGCCTGAGGGGGCAGGGGCAGGGACGGCGCTGAGGGACCCCCCCATAGCAGCCCAAAGCTCAGGGCTGAGCAAGGGGGTCAGCACGAGCCTCTCAGCAGGTGAAACCAGCCTGGGACCAGCCATGGATTCAGCCTGGAATCAGGCATGGACTCAGCCTGGGACCAACTATGGATTCAACCTGGAATCAGCCATGGATTCAGCCTGGAACCAGCCATGGACTCGGCCTGGAGCCAGCCATGGATTCAGCCTGGAATCCATGGGAAGCCTGGAACCAGCCATGGATTCAGCCTGGAATCAGCCATGGATTTGACCTGGAACCAGCCATGGATTCAGCCTGGAATGAGCCATGGAAAGCCTGGAATCCATGGGGAGGCAAATAGGTGGTGGTGCCTGGGTGCTCATCTCCCCACGTGGTCCAGGATCACCCCAAAACCCCTGGGTGCCCCCCGTGCCCACCCCGCCCGCCCCCCCGGCAGCCGCCCCCGCGCGTGTGGGCCGGGTGGTAATTATGGCCCCGGGGCCACGGGGCTGAGCAGGGCCCGGCCGCCCTTCCCAGGGCTCATTAGGCAGGAATGGGGCCGGGACCTGTGGCGGGACAGGGGCAGGAATTACCAGCCAACCCTCCTCTTGCTTCACGGCTCCAGGAACAGCCTGGCAGGGCAGGGCCAGGCCCACCTGAGCCCCCCACAAGCACGGCCCAGGCTGCCCCCCAAATCCCGGGGGTCCAATCCTGCCTGATCCCTGCCCGGGGTCTCCGTCCTCCCTCCTCCGTCCCGAGGCTGCCCCAAGTCAGGAAGCTCCGACAGGATGGGCCTGACAGGATGGTCCCTGTCACGGGGTCCGGCGGCCACATCCCAGGAAAGCAGGGACGGGAACTGCGTCACCTTGTCTGCTCAGGGCTCTTTCCTGCCTGGTCAGTGGCCAGGACTTGGAGCGTGTTGCTCCCTGTTGTTCCAGGTGGATTTACACCAGCCCTGGGTTCCAGCACTGACCATCGTGGCACCGGTGGCCACATGGGTGTTGGAGGAAGCCAACGGGGTGGGCTGTGTGGAGCCCCAAGGGTGGCCCAGCACTGTCCCCCTCTCTGGGGACACCTCCAGAGGGTGTTTGCAGCCCAGGGAACAGGCAGGACCTGCCCCGTGCCCCAGCCTTGGCTCCTGTCCCCTCCCTTTGCCCTGATCCTCCCCAGTTCAGCCCCAGGCCGAGGACGGTGGCACGTCAGGGTGGTGACACGAGACATGAGGCTCAGCCCCAGGCTCATCCTTGTCCCCAGGTGTCCTCCCATGCCATCCCTGTCCCTGTGAGAGCCCCCGCTGTGCCACACTGCCGTGGCCCAGGGTCACTCTGTCATTCCAGGACTGGGGACCATCCCCAGCTCTCGGCACTCTGGCCTTGGAGCTGTCCCAGCACTGGCAGGGCCACGAGAGCCTCTCACCAGAGATTCCAGCTCCTCCCAGGTCATTCATCACCAACAGAGGGGATCCAGCAGCACCAGGGCACGAGCACCCCGTGCACTGTCACCCCTGCACCCACCGGGGACCCCAGTTTGGTGTCACCAGTCCCCTGCCACCAGCACCCAGCCCATCCTCGGGGCATTGTGGCGGCTGCTCTGCTGCTGACTCATGGCACCGGCCCGGCAACCATGGAGAGCCCCGGGGCCAGCTGGGGGCACGGGGACACCATGACCGGGGTGGGGCACAGGGACACTGGCACAGCAGGGGGACACAGGGACACTGGTACCATGGTGGGACACAGGGGCACTGGCAGTGGGGTGGGACATGGGGGCACTGGCAGTGGGGTGGCACACAAGGACACTGGCACCACAGTGGGACAGGGGGACACTGGCAGCAGGGTGGGACACAGGGGCACTGGCACCACAGTGGGGACATCACTGGGGTGGGATACAGGGACCGGGATGGGACTCTGACGCTGCAGTGGGACATGGAGACACTGTCACCACAGTGGGACATGGGAACACTGTCCCCGGGGTGGGACATGGGGACACTGGCACAGCTGGGCACCACGTGAGCAGGATGGGACTCGCCAGCTGCTCCACTCCCACCACCACAGTCCCGTCGCTTCTCCCTCTCCTTTCCCCTCTCCTTCTCCCTTCCCTCTCCTTCTCTCCCTCTCCTTCTCTCCCTCTCCCTCCTCACACAGTCACATCTGCCCATAACCAGGACCTGCAGCTGGACACAACCCCAGCGCTCCCTGTCCCCCTGCCCAGCACCACAACAGGAAAATCCCCCTTTTCCAGAAGCCATACCCCACTGGCAACCCCAGGTCAGGCTCTCCAGAGACAGTGGAGGCTGACAGATGCAG